GATCGATCCCAACAGCGTCTCCGGACCGGATGGTTTCTCGTCCCTCTTCTTCCAGTCTTGCTGGGAGATTGTGGGTACTGACGTAGAGGAAGCTGTGAGGGATTTTTTCTTTGTCCACCAGATGCCAGACTCCTTCACGGCAACCTCCATCATTTTGATCCTGAAGAGATCGGGTCCTAGTTCTTGGTCTGACTATAGGCCTATCAGCTTATGCAACGTGACTAATAAGATCATTTCTAGAATCCTCAACGGACGCCTCACCCCTCTCCTCCCCCACCTTGTCTCTCCGAACAAGAGTGGATTCATTAAAGATCGAGTCATTAGTGATAATATCCTACTGGCTCTAGAGATGATACACGACATCTCTCATGCGAATCGAACACGAACCCCGAACCTCGTGCTGAAGCTGGACATGGCCAAAGCATACGATAGAGTCGATTAGTTATTTCTCAGAGAGGTACTGTTTCGGATGGGATTCCTTAACCGTTGGATTAACTTTGTGGAGGCATGTGTAGAGCATTACACATTCTCCGTTTTGATTAATGGTAGCCCCACGACCTTTTTCCCCTCTACCCGCGGCCTTCTTCAGGGGGACCCTTATCCCCCTTCCTTTTTATTCTGTTGGCTGACTATCTCTCTCGCTACCTTGACGACTTCATTCGCGATTTTCCGAGGATGACCTACATCACGCGTGGCTGTGGGCCTCCCATTTCCCACCTTTCTTATGCGAATGACATCATCATTTTCACTCGTGCGAATGATAATGGGCTAGTAGCTCTCATGAGTCTTTTGGACCACTACAGTGAGGCATCTGGCCAGCTTGTCAGTGTTAGTAAGAGCACTTTTATCATGGACTATCACGTTGCAGACCATTGGGCTCACCAGATTCACGAGCGCACTGGATTTGCTCGTGGAGACTTACCCATCCTTATCTTGGGGCCCCCTTGTACAAAGGTCATCTTTCCCATGAGCTTTTCATTGACGTCCGTCAGAGGATGATTGACCGGATTTCTGGCTGGTCACATAGACACCTATCCTTCGGAGGCCAACTTGCTCTGATCA